TTCTGTAGTATTTATTAACTAAAATAACATAGTTACGTTTACTTACTATATGTAGAGTAGTATAACTATAACTAACTTACTTACGTTTATTAGTTGTATATATATATATATATATATATATATATATATATATATATAGTCAGAAACTTTTAAGACAATATTATAAAAAATACACATAAATTCAACACAACTTTATTCTTATTGATAAACAGTCGTATTAACATCACAACAACTGCCAATTACTTTGTTGCTTAACAAAAAATCTCCACATAATGCCTTGCTTATATGGGAGAATAATTCTAGGAACTGAGGTCACCAGAACAGTTCTTGATCCTATGAAAATATGATGTTTTAGTTGGAACATATACTGTATTTCCATCACAATGTTAACACAACAAACTCTACTTTACCTCACCAAGATGAGAGTCAGCACAGTGGCCCTTGGTCTCAGGATCAGCTATGACAACTTTTACACCAGGTAACAACTTCCCAGACTCTACAAGACACAAACTATGAGGTGCCCCTCGCTCTACTACTGTTACCCTGTCATTTCTAAGAGCCCTTACATCTACATATACAGTTGTGGGGTCTGGACTAGATGCTCCCTACAGGAAAAATATATATTCAGATTAAAACTATAGATTATCCTTATTTAAACAAATTATTCAAATACACGTAATAACCCCAAAAATTTACATGCCTTTAATGTTTCCACCACATCAAAAAATTTAAAAATGACACAAAATCGCCATTATGAATTATGAAGAATGGTGAAAATACAGGTTAACATTTGAACTATTTAATAAGGAGTTTCTGTAATATAGTTGCATTAGTCCTGCAAAACGTATCCCAGAAAACCCATAATCTTAATATTTTGAGATTTGTTTCACAACATAAGAACTTGCACATAGACATGGAAACTTTCAATGAAAGAAAAAAAAAAGAGTAAAGGTATCATTCCAGGAATAGTACATTAATTTCTGTATGCTTTACTTCTTGCGACAACAAGGGAAGATATGTATAAATGGTAAGTAAACAATAAAAATGCTCAATCAACCAAAACATTACAGACCTGAAGACAAATGGCTACATTGACTCGACACCCAAAACTAGTGCTGACAGCCCGGGGAGAAAGTCCCAGGCTGGAGAAAAGCTTGGAGAAGGAGTTGGTGAGAGCAACTCGAGGCCGTTCTTCTGCTACAACGACACACGTCCGAACACAGTTCAAATTTACACCCCGTTGCTGGTGAAGAAAATGGCATAAAAACCATTAAGGTCACAAGATCATCACATTCATGAATGTCATTACATATGTAAACTCAGGATAATGTTTAAATAAAAGATATTATCGTCTTTAAGTTTAATATGTGTCTTTTTATTTAAGTGAAAATTAAAAACTAGGCATCATCAACAACAGGAAGCATCATTTTACAGTATCTTATTATTGTTGAAAAGGTTAAGGAATTAAAATTATTTTTTACTTACCTTAAGCAAATTCTCAGAGAGTTCCAATCTTTTAGTGCAAAGATCTGTTGCATCATTGTTTTACTTACTCATAATGGTGGTTGGTGGTAAATCACGATCTATTATTGCAAACTTCCATTATTCTTCATGAAATAAGGAAATTATTATTGTTTGTTTTCTGTACTTTAGCTCGATTGATAGCGTGTATGATATGAAGGAATTAGACATTTGTTTTACTTACATTAAGCTGGTTGATAGAGGATCCTAATCCTTTTGTGCAGAGTTCCATCATTGTGTATGATATGAAGGAATTAGACAATTGTTTTACTTACTTTAAGCTGGTTGATAGAGGATCCTAATCCCTTTGTGCAGAGTTCCATCACTGTGTAAGATATGAAGGAATTAGACAATTGTTTTACTTACTTTAAGCTGGTTGATAGAGGATCCTAATCCCTTTGTGCAGAGTTCCATCACTCCATATGAACAGAAAGTATCACGAACTAAAAGAGGAAGACTAAAAATTACCATCCATGGAGATTCTGTGAATGATTTTATTACATTTAAATCCAGAAATAGTTCTGTACATATTATGTATATCAATATTGATGTATGTCGGTGTATAAACTGTAAAACAGAGAAGTCTTTAAGCAATTTTCTTGTGACTACTTGTTTAAAAATTATATATACCATTAAAAATAAAGCTGTATCAATTTATAAAAAATCATCCATTAGAAATATTTGCAAAATGTTGCAATTTTTTTTAGCTATACTAGCTGATGGTATCTGTTAAGTAAGCAAAAAGTTTAAAAAGAAGTGGAAATGTGTCCTATTTTATGACGACTTTTTATTCCCCTTTTCAAGCAAAAATCCTAAAACAAAGAAGCCTAGTATACTGTCAAACACTTTAGTTACCATACAAAAAAATAAGGTAATCAAGCCAGCGAACTCTGGGTGATGGATGATAAGACACACACATGCATACACATAATGGATCATTTCTATAGTAAGTTTACAACACAAGTCATCAATACATTTTTTCAATTATTGTTTTTCAAAACAAATACAGAAACTAAGCATATTATTAAAAAGTATTTAACCAATGAATATATACTTAACTATTTTGAAAGTGATACAACTACTTAAAAAAAACTTCTGTACAAAGTGATAGTAATGGAAAACTGAGTATGAAACAGCAGGATGTAAAGATAGACGTAAATGATCAAATTTATCTAACAATAAAAAAACTCACTAAGATTTGGATACTGTTTGCCTCTTTGCTTTGTCTAATCTAAGTAGGACAAAATTCAGTCTCCAAACCTTTATCATACAGTATGGTTGATTATTAGATAGTAGAGAGAAGATAGTTTGGAGAGAGGTGTTGATATCACTTGACTGGTATTTTTTTTAATTCTGTAAATTCCATCAAGCACTTCCACTTTTACTCTCTTTCGCTCTTGAAGAAACAGAAACAACTCTTCAAAAGCATTCTGGTTTCAGGTAATTTCATTCACTCTAGAGTAATCTATGGTGCTATTCTACTTAAAAAATAGCAATAACACAAGTTAATAATCTCTTGAATGTAAGAGAAAAACACATACACACAGTTTGACTTGGTCATGCTTGCTATAAGAAAACACACTACTTGAAGGAAGACTAATCAGAACAATTTAAATCAAACAGGCAGAAAGCCAAAGTTAAAGGTCAAGTACATTGTAGCATAAATTTTTGGGCTACTTCCACAATGTATTTCTTAAACGTATGCTTTTTAAACTTATTTACAAGATCATTTCAACTAAGAAACAATTTGAATAAAATTTAAAGTCTATAACCTGATGAAGAGCTCAAAAATAAGTATGAAGGCTTGTTTAATAAATACATTGTGCAGTTATATTTTTCCTCACAATTATGACTTAAAACTTATACATATGCTGTAATTTCTAAAACAAAGTGGACACTCCTTATGTTCAAGAATACACACTTTTACCTTGTTTAGAGGAAATAATATTGATGAAACGGATAGTGTTGTTCTGCTTCTATAAGTTAAATAAACAGAATTACTTTGTCCTTTCTCAAGTTTTTGAAGATATTATAACAGTATACCTTAAAAATGAGATCAAGGATGAAGATTAGCCTTTTTTACAGAAGTAAAACTGGCTGCTTTCAACAACTATTCTTATAACCTAATTCTTAGAGCTCTCAAGATAAAGAAATATAAGGTTTGCACTATTGTTTTAATCAAACTAAAAAGGACTTCTTGTATGGAGTTATCAGGAATGTAATATACAAAATGAGACAATGCAAGTAGATTCAGTTTTTAAGAAGTGGAACTGGCTACTTTCAACAAATATTTTTACCATCTGTCTCATAGCTCTTAGTATGGAGATAAAATCTGAGACTTGTATTGTTGCTTAATGCCAAAGAAAAGTTCTTTTGTTTTTCTTCAAGAGTATTTTGAGTATCTTAACCCTACCAACAAGGGTCTACCAATGTTCATGGGTCAAAGGGCATGTCATCTCATTTGTGGACTCGCATTCAAAATGTTATCCAACTACTATTTTATGAATGTATGTCAATAAGTTTGGTATCAAACTGTAGATTATAATTCAAAGTTTAGTATTATACATTAGTTAATTTCTTAATCTAAAATTAAATATTGAAAAAAAACCCAACTAAATATCCATTTCTGTGTGTCACGTGGTATGTTGAATGCAGCATTGGTTCAAATTAGATATTTGTAATGTCCAAATATAAAATTTATAGTTCCATGTGAATTAGATTTTCAAATTGCCGATATTGACAAGCTAGAATCTAAGATAAGAACCTCCTTCATTTCTATTTTCTGAGATATTAATATATTTATTAACACAACCAAGGTGGCCCAACCAAAGTCTTCCATTTTTTGAAAATACTTGCTTACTTACACCTAATTCACCCAATGACGTGTGTATAACCAGTTGAAAATTCAGAATGTTCCCCTAGTGGTTTTCTCAGTATCTGAAAAGTATTTGCATGGGAAACACTTTCTTTTCATGCTAGATTCCAAGCTGTTAGGTAAGACTTTTCTTTTTAGATTCAAATACAGCTTAGTTACAAGCTTGATAAATTATAGTGGAATTCTGTGGTATAGTAATTTATGATTTTTGTTATTACAAAATGCATATATAAAACCTTTTTTATTTTGTTTTACATCCTCCATATGCGGAATTTGAAAAGCCTTAGCAACTTACAGCAAGCAGCAAACGAGTTCAATGTTAATAACTAGAACAAATAATTGTTTGCTATACTTCTTTATTTACTGTTCTATGTTCTAAGAAAAATAATTTTAAGAACATACATAGTAATAATGTATTAAACTGAAATGTAACTATATTTTACAAAATACTAGACCAATAAAACACAGCCAAAACAGGTCACTTTGTAAAAGCCAGTTTTATATTCTTGGATAACAGTAACATAAATGCATGCGTGTCGTGTCATTGCAACTTCTGTAATGTTAGTCAGGGCCAATAAAATGAAAATAATAACTATATACATATATATATGTATGTATAACATTTCGAGATTTAAGCTATTTAGAATAAACATTTGTTTATTTTGAATGTAGTCATTCTAGAATGAAAAAAAGCATAATTTATATCCATTTCCTAATTTTTATGGTAGTTATGATGTCTGTCAAATCGACCAAACCTGTACAAAGATATAATAGTGAAAATAATAAAAAATATATAGTTATTTTCTAAAACAAAAACAAAAAAAAGTTTGATTATTATCTGAAGGTTATAAAGATTTCTCATTTGAAAACTGAAAATTTTCTGATGCATTAAAGTATTTTATCTTAAAGTCAAAATTGCATGTTGGATAGTCAAGATTTGAAAAGAAAAAATGCATAAGAAAAACATTTCTTATAATATCTTAAAATTTAATAAAAGAATCTGATATTTTACATAGAAAAAACCTTGTAATGTTTACTGATAATCTGCAAAATTTCATGAAGCTACGCTTACTGTATTAAAAATTAAAAGCATGAAAACTATAACAAGCACAAAATGGTTATGAGGTCAGTCCCAGGGACATATATATAGACTTTTTTAAATAGTCCAAGTGCAAAATGATTTTTTGTTAAGATTAAAAATACTTTGCTTCATCTCAAAAATCTAAAATTTTATTTGCTTAATCTCTAAAACCTCCTAAATACATTTCAAATGATTTTCCTCAGTAAAACTTTATATTTTATCTGTTATTTTCTCTAACATAACACTAAACAAGGTTGGTCAATTTGACCGGCTTTGAAACCACCAAAAAATATATCTAAATAAATCTAAATTACCTTTTTCTCTCTCTTGAATGACTTCAGATTGTAACATGAAACTACGTTTATCCTAAGTAGATTTAAATTCATAACAATATACTTCTATCTGTACTTAAATTTTATTGTTTTACTGACCATTGAACCATGTCTCAACAACTATTTGCACCATTATAAGTTGTAAATCACTTGGAGAACATGCCACTCATGTTACGCTCTTGAATTACATTACCCACCAGCTACTCCAAGCTGCTCGCATGGATTCCTCATGAAAAATTATTATTTTATTATTATTTATTTATTTTACCTCATCTAACCTAAATAGTTTCCTATTTTTATATTTTACTTACTTTTTGTAATAATAAATAAAGCACTTATGTGGGCATTCTTTTTTTCTGTTGACTGTCAATGACATTTAAGCATACCTTTTTTATACTAATGGTAGTAGTGCACTAAATAATTTTTACTTAATCAAATAATGCACCAAAGAACATAAAATAATAACATGCAAAAAGCAGACAATGTCCCATAACTATCTCACTTTTTCTGACTTTCTAACAACAAGAGCCATTACAAATTCATCCAAGCTAGTCAATGTATTTCCCGTGGGAACAAAGCTTGTATTGAAAGAGAAATTGACAATTCTCTGCACAGAAAACAATGCAATATAATACTTTATTTGATAGATGAAAACCTTGGCTTTCTATTAGTTATAAATAATATAGTATTAAAAGTAAGAGAGAACTGTTAACAGATCCTGAAAGAGATGATGTGACAGGTGGGTGTAGCAAGAGGGGTTTGATTTTCTATTTGAAGACTATATCCAAACGAGATTGAAGGCTATGAAAATTATGCTTTGCATGATCGATGAAAATATTATAATGAGTAATTTACGCTAAATTTCATACTTATTGGAGGGGTAGCAAATAAATTAGAGAAGGGGAGGTGCTTAGAGAAAAAAATGTCACATTTTTCACACTAAGGGAAATTCAAAATTTTAAAAAATATTTCCTTATAAAATTAAGAACTTAAAACTTATATATTACCAAAATATGGATTATTAGCTATGATTTTATACCATACTAATTGGTATAATATGAACAAAGTAATTTAAATAAATTTTGAATGTAACTCACTAAAACCCTTGTGACGTGTAGTAAACGATGTCTGTGGAAAGAGTTAAAAGCAGTGCAAATAGCTGCTTTCAACAAGTACTCTTACAATCTATATCTCACAAAGTTTTGTGGGTAAAAATATAAAAGCAGAGGATTGCATTGTTGCTTCATGCTAATTAAAATGGACTTTTCTGGAGTTATTAATTATTCATTTTACATTAAAGCTGAAACAATGGGTGTAATTTTAGATTTTGAAAGAGGTGTTACTGATTGCTCTCAAAAAGTATTTTAGGAATCTAAGATGTAAGAGTACTGAAAAATGTGGAGGTGGAAACTGATATAGTTATACTCGCATATGAAGGTCACATTTATGATTTTATTTGCATCAGCTTTATTCAGAATTTGTGGTGATAGATAAATTCTAGTTCTGGTAATAATAAAAAAACATGGAGAATTTTAACAGTTGATCTGATGTGTTACAAAAAGGATCATCAGATCATTTTTAACATTGTTACACTTAACACTGATTAGAAGTGTGATAACCAGACAATAAAAGAGAAAATAGAAATTAAATGAACATAAGCATAAAAGATCTCAAAATATTTCTGAAAAGTCAATTAAACAGTAGAAGCTGGTGATAATAAACCTTTTTAAACATTAAGTTGCTACCAAAATAACACAAATAGAAAGAAGAATAAGACAAAAGCTCCTTATTGGGATAATGATTGTGAAAAATAAAACATAAAACTTCTGTTGTTTAGCATGCTTAGATGCAGTGATGAGAAAAATGATTAAAATTCAATCTCCATGATGAATGGGAAAATATGACTTACACAAAATGTCATAATAAGATGACCATTTATGTTGCTAAAAGAGATATTCACAGTTCAAAAAAACAAATAACAACTATTAATTATTTTATGACATACTCACATCTAAAGAATGGACTAAATGTTGGGTTGTGTAATGATTTTTGGATTTATTAATGTAAATAAAGACCCATGTTTGACTCTGAAAATCAGGAAATCGATAATATTAGCAGAGATTCAGAAAACATTTGCAGTCAAATTAGTATCTTTATTGCAACAGTACTTCTTTAAAGACAGTATTTCTAGAATACAAAAGAATTCTAACTCCAGACACTGAAATCTAGAAGTCCACTTGTCTTAGGCCTAACATTAGTTAAGCCTAAACTATGGATGACAAATATAAACATTGTTATATTTGAGCAAGCTTTTTATGTTACTTTTTTTCTTTTGAGAACAAAGACATTAAAGAACAAATATTTCATTCATGACAACTGTTTTTAGGTTGTGATATCTGAAAAATGCATGACCTTGGGTTTTTACAATGGTGTCTCATAACACAAAGGGTGTTGTAAAAGATTTAGTACTGAGTGATTACCTGTTGTGTGCTGTGTTTTGGAGTTAAATTAATACAGATAAAAAATATTACCTTATTTACATACTATGCTTTCATCATATAATAAAATAATATCGTGGTTAGATTGTTATCCTCTTTTCAGTGAAGCTGTGATGCAGAATCTGCTATTAACTTAGGCATGATGTTTAAAAACAAACAGAAATTCATTGACAAGCAAGTAATTCAGAAATGTAGAGGTACAGAAAAATAATTGTTAGTGGTGTGGAATATGGTGTTGAGGGTCTACCCTGTGACAATATTACAGAGGTGAATGAGTTATTCATGGTTACGTCCTTTGAAATTTGCATTAACACACATCATACACCAAAACAAGTCAATTTCTGAGGTGTAGATAATAACAAATCAGACACCTAAACCAAAAATTATCAAAATCACTCCACAACAACAGTTGGAGACATAAATGCAGATGAAGTAAAAATCCTAACAGTATTACAAAACAATGGTGAACAATCAGTAGCTGTGTTTGTTCAAAGTGCTGTCCCACTGTGACAACTGCCAATATGATGGCTTAACTTTTAATAATAATTGGCATTTCTTGTCATGTGGGTCTCATGGCACCTATGAGCCTGTAATGTGCAGCTGCTGACACACATTTCCTATCATCTGACATGAATGATGACATTCACCTGGGAATTGTTCAGCATTCAAGATGACAGCAGCTTGGGAATTCTGGTAGTACTCCCTATAAAATAGTACCATGTTAAACTGTTTTTCAACTGGAAACTGTGCCATTACTTAGATGAATTGTAAGCAGTTGCAGTACAATGCTTGTGTATTATCTTATATAGGAGGTTTTTAGTTTAATACTTTTTAACCTTAGGCCCCTGCTTATTGAAAAATTCTGACATTTGCTATGTTATGATTTTTTCATTTTCTGACACAACTCCTTATGAATGCCAATCAATGTTTTTTGAGAAGTTGTTTTGGTACATTTAGGCTTAAAAGGTTTCATTTGTTAGTTCTTAAAACCTTTGCCACTGACATTTCTTAGGTATGATGCATAATAATAAACTTTCCAATTGATCTGTCCTTGAATGACCTCAGTGATATTGTCACAAAGTAGGTCTACAACACCTATTAATTCCATACCACTAACAATTATTGTGTGTAGACTTCTTCATCTCCAAATTATTTGCCTGTCAATGAACTTCTGAATGACCCTGTATTCACCTTACCTTTAAACTGACTTAAGGTAGATAACCAAAGAGCTGGATTAACTTCTACTTCAGAAGGAGGGATGAGAACTGAGTGATGGCCTGAGTAGACACTGTTCAATATAACAGATTCATTAGTAATGACAACTACAGCTAAATTTTATCAAGAATATATGAATCCAGTAAAAAGAAGTTCAAAATAAATTAATAAGATATTTGAAAAATAGGTAGAATTAATGCTACCAATTTAGTCTAAATAATTTGGCAGACAAGCTGTTTAACCCTTTTCTAGACAGAGGACATAACTGATAATCCATTCTTACTGTGAAAATACCCAAACAAATTGCATGAAACTTCATGCATGCTTTCTGTATGGTATCTAGTTTATGCATACAAATATTTATAAAAATTTGATTTAGTATTTATATTATTAACCTAGATTGTAAAATTTCTGAAGTTTTCATTGTGAAATGCAGTTTAATGAAATAAGTAAAATACCTCCTCTAATCTTACAGTTTCTATTTCTTTACATGTGCTTAAAACCTCATAATTACATAAAATTTTTTTTCAATAAAAACTCACTGTTCTGCCTACACTAATAATAGCATACATAATATTTTTGTCTGTACACAAAATCACTATGGTTTTGTGTATTAATCCTCACCTTGTTTCTGTACTTATTGGCATTACCATCCCTACATCATACATAATTTTTACAATTTTGTTTTATTACTTGTATAATGTATTGTTTTGATAATTAGAAACTGATGTTTTTAAACTCAGACTCTAGTAACATGTAGCAAGACTTGTCAGTTCCATAAATACTTGATCTCCTTCAATATTAATTTATTTAGATTATTCTTTCTTTCTTTGTTTATTTTTACTAAAATTGTTTTAGCAGATATCATGTTTGTGCAATGTAAAGTCCCAAATGGTCATTATATAACAACAACTTGTGCTATCATCTCTCAACCAGAAATCTATCTGCTACTTATGAAACATGAAAATAATACATGCTTATAAACTGAACTCACTGCTAAATAGTAGTTTTCTTTTTTATTATTTCCCCACAAAAATATGTGTGATAGAAGAAAATAATAATATTACTGTTATACAAGCTGTGAAACACTTGATAATGGCAATTAGGTGCTCAAATAAGGCTATATACAAAACACAGTATTCTCTATCTAACAATTTTTAGCATTAAGTTCTGGCTACTTTGTAGGCTGAATTTCAACAGGATTGGTTGAAACTCTCATACTATACGATGAATCAACTACTTTTAGTAGTAAAATCATTGACAGAAAGCGGTATGATGGTGAACAAGACAGGAATCATTATGTTCCAAGAAGATTGTGTAGTAACTATACAATAAAACTTTGAGGTGATTACAAAAATTTCAAAAATACTGAGAAATGCTTTGTTGATATTCAAGACTCCATAGAGCACTGCAGAAATGAAAGTCTGCAAATTTTGTAAATCCTTTCCAAGCTAAAATATTAATTTAAAATATTTGCAAGTAAAAAAATTTTTGAAATAGAATTATATTTTTTGCTTAACTTTTGAAAGTTGAGTTGTGTGTATGTACTGGTCTGGGTTAAGATAATGTGTACTTTCTCTCTCATAATCAAAACTGGGAATTACTCTAAATATCCATAAATAATATTATTCTAGTCTCCTCAAGATATAACTTTGGATATAATTATATCAAAGTTAACATAACAACTTACCTATTCAAACACCACAGCACGAATCCCAAACCACAATATGGATCCAAGCAAAGGGTTATATGACGAGAGGGGTAGAGTTCACAGGCCAGCTTCATACTCTTACACAGAGAAGTAGCAGCCGCATGAGACATCTGCAAATATTCAGAGCAAATTTGTTCACTCACCATCAGACAATTCTCTTGCCTAATATCAAAACTTACTAAAATTATTATAATGATACCCAATCTAAGAGAAAATACCAAAAACTGGAAAAGTAATTCATCAGAACAACTGTCTTGAAAATTAAAAAGGGGGCGATGAATATTGCTTAACACTCTCACTACAAACTCAGTTGAATCGAACAAATTCACGACCAAAATTGATCTTTATAGTTTCGATACTATAATAGCTAAAATGATTCGTGTATGCTCATGAAATTTCACAAGCTTTCAGTAATTACTAAAAGTCATTTGTAGACCAAAAATCTTAATTTTTAATGAAGTAAATAGTTTTCTTTATCCAAAAAAATCTCAAATTTCATTTGCTTAGTCTCTAAAACTTCCTAAATAAACTTCAAACTTTATTTTCGGTAAAACTTTATATTTTATTTTATTTTTTTCTACCCTAACTCTATACAAGGTTGGTCAATTTGACCAATCTCATATACATAAAAAAAAAAGAAATTTGAAAAATCTAAATTACCAATTTTTTTTTCTTACAATGACTTCAAATTGTAACATGAAACTACATTTGTTTATTCTAAATAGTTTTAAACTCATAACAGTATACATCTTCTTATACTTAAGTTTTATTGTCTTAGTAACCTTTGAACTGTGACTAACTGATATTCCCATCATAAAATTTATAAATCACTTGACAAGCGTGCAGCTTACATTACCCTATTGGCCCGATTACAAGGCGATGTTTTTTTTTATATTAATAACGAGGCTGTAAAATTCATAGTCGCCTTATAATTGGAGTCAAACACAGGCCCCTTCCCCCTACACTAGCCCATTGCATTCCTGAATGTCCAGATAGCATCTGTCTACGCATGCGAGCCAGATGTTCACTCAAGGTCATTGCTAATTCTTGCAACTAATCCATTCTTTTGTTTTCATTCCCATGATTTCTGAAAATGGGGGGCACCTTATATTTGAGCTCACCCTATAATCAGACCAATATGGTACATAATGCACGAGCTACTCACAAGTTGCTTGTGAGCATACCTCATGATAAAATTTTATCATAATTATTTTTCTTACTTAATCTAACCTAAAAAGTTTATATTTTTTACATTTTAGTTAATTGAATAATAATATATAAAGAATACACATAAAAAACAAGAAATATATTACTTACCTGGGTTTTAGTTTTTTTTTCTATTGACTGTCAATGACACTTAATCCAATTATTTTTATACTAATGGTACTAATGCACTATGTAATTTTTCATTTAATCAAATAATACACCAAAGAACACAGACTAATTGCATGCAAAAAGCAGACAATGTTCCATATCTATCCCAATTTTACTGGGTTTCTAGCTATGTGACAAGAGCCACTAAAAATTCAGCTAAGCTTGTCAATGTCTTTTTCCATGACAATAGTTTGAATTGGGAGCGAAATAGACAATTCTCTGTACGGAAAATAATGTAATATAATATGTCATTTGATAGATTAAAACATTGACTTTCTATTGGTTATAGTATTAGCATTGAATATCAAAGAGAACTATTGGCAATTTCTGAAAAAGAAAATGTGACAGGTGGGCATGGCAAGAGGGGTCCAATTTTCTATTTGATGGCTCTGTAACTAATAAGGCTATAAAAATTATGCTTTGCCTGATTGATGACAATATTATAGTAGTAATTTATGTTAAATGTTGTACTTCTTAGAGGGGTAAATAAATTAGAGAAGAAGAGATGCCTAGAGAGAAAATGTTACCTTTCTTATACTAGTGGAAATTCGGGTATTTTTTTAATATTGCCATATAAAATTATTAACTTAAACTTATATACTATTAAAATTTGAATTATTAGCTACGTTTTTATACCAAAGTTGTTCATGTACCATGATAAGAAAGTAGTTTAATTAAATTTTGAATACAACTCACTAAAGCCTTGTAACATGCACAGGAAAAGATGCCTGTAGCAAAACAGTTAAAGGTTGTATGAGAAAACTCATAAGGTTTCATGTACTGGAACTATTTTAAAACAGAACAAACAGTCTAGGAAATTCTAAGAATAAAAATTGTTCTAATAAAAGCAAAACGAAAATGTATTTTCCGCACAAATTAGATTTAAAGCCAAAATTATTAAAACCAAAGTAATTAAAGAATCATTGTGTAAAACGTGTTTGAATCCAACCATTACTATATGTAATATACCTAATTCTTTAAAAATACTTAATTACCAAAATATTCTATTTTAACAGCAAAATCATAAGTTCTGAGTTTTTCAGATATTTCTAAAATTAGTAACTATAAGCTAAATACAACATAATTCAGAATGTAAATATCACGTTTATTCTGCCATTGAAGACTTCTGCAACACAATTTGTACTTGAAAGTTGATATCTTAAAATATTATCATTAAAAACTGGATCAAATTCATAATTATTACACATAAAATAGGTTTTACAAAATTCAAAACTTTAATGACAACTTTAATATATTATATAGAATATTACAGTAATATTGCATCATTTCATTATCAGATCTGCATTCTGTGGCAAGTATATTTTTCAAAGCTGTACTTCTGGTGAAAATTCAAGTAATCTGATAATGGTTCTGAAAGAGGATTACATGTAGTGAAACCCTAACATGTGTACTTTAATTATAAAATTTAATATGTTTGATATGAAACAAAAAATGTTGTTATACCCAACAAAAAAAAGTGTAGTATGTTTATTTTATTTTACAGTGCTACTATTATATATGCTATTATTAAATTAACTACTAATGATCATATAACACAGGTTCAAAACATTTATCACAGTAAGGCCCATTGTTTGTTTGTTTGTAATTAAGCACAAAGCTCCACAATGGGCCATCTGTGCTCTGCCCATCACGGGTATCGAAACCCAGGTTTCTAACATTGTAAGTCTGCAGACATACCTCTGTGCCACTGGGGGGCAAGGTCCATTGAAAGTAATGTCAAAACTGATATTGTGAGGGAGGGTGAAGTGCTTGAGCAGTATAGAAACTTGAAAATTTTGGTTTAAGAAAAATAAAATCAATACAACTAAGTAACAGCAATAAAGGTAGCAGATAAGCTTCTGTTTCCCAATTGTAGTATAGTAGTCATAGATGCAAGGACTAGGTCATAAATAATGACTATGTTTTTAGAGAAATTTTTTTAGACCTTAGAGTATCAATTTTTGTCTAGCCTTAATTCAAAGCCACACATACATACATGTTTTAGAACTTAAAAAGGATTAATTCTGACATTTAAGTCAAGTCTTAGTTTTAGTGTAGGCCTACTCCTATGTTTATGGTTAAGTAATGGATACACTAAAACAAGTATCCCAAAGAAGCTAGACCAAGACCTATGAATGAGGCAGAGCTATAAAAATAATGAATTTAACCATGGAAAATTTTGCCGCATAACATATACAGGTTTCTTGGTAAAAAAAAAATATTTTTCAAAAAATAGCCTTACAGCAGATTGGACACTTTTACATATTTATTCTAGGAATAAAACTAAAACCAATACCATTCTTGTTTGCCACAACATAACAGGCCTGTTTTGAATTTTAGGTTAATGCATGACCATTTCAGTGGAAAAATTATGCTATGTTTCAGTCATTGTTGCATGGCACAGGTATTTTCAAGAAATCAAACAAATATTGAAATCAAATATTGAGTCTTGAGCACTAATCTAATAACTGGTATATCAACTGATATATTTTGCTACACCTGCAGAATTACTGGTACACTAAAAGATATACCACTGTCTATGGCTCTGCAATACCAAGAAGAGGTATATTTAATATATATTTCATATCATGTTTGGGTCATAGCTATATGAAAACTAACAATCTTGGTCTTCAAATCATTTGTAAAACAGCCTTCCAAATAAGCATTTTTACTGCATTTTAACATTTTTATGCTCTGACAGAATGTCTCTTAAATATGTGATCATCATCTACTTTTAACTCTAGTTTATTTTTATTAAGACAAAACAGCAATTAACTATCACTAAAAGGAAAATTTCTGCTGTATTGCATTCATGTGGTTACTTAGGTCAGCATTACACAAATCCATAAACAAACCTTTATTCCAGCTAACATTCCTGTTGTGCTAACACTGAAATCCAGATAAGCAATCATTTCTGGAGTAGGTGCCCTGTAGATATTGGTCAGTTTTTTCTTGGGTAGGTCATCAGTGTCTAAAGTTGTAGGCCATGACTTGATGTCCACAACATTACCTGCTTCCTACATAAAGAATCAATAAAAGTAAATATTTTTATTAAAGTATAAATACAAATTTTCCCTTTTGACTTTTTCGTAGCACAAATATCCAACACAAAACACTAAATCCACTTTCTACACCACCAAAAATGTAACAAAAATAAAGTCATTCTTAGTTCTCTTAAGACTTCTCATATATTTTATACTGTAATTCAGTACTATTCTGTTTTGTTTTTTTAGCATCCTGTTATATTCTATAATTTTGATTTGTTAAATACTGTGTATACTTGACTCAGTTTATTTGAGTATGTAACATTATAGTACAGTTACTATCCATGTAAATATTCATAACTGTTCACTTAATCATATTCTCTAGATACACAAAATAAAACTTTAACTTTGCTCATTCTAAGAGATTAATACACACTAAGATTAACAATTCCTTTTATCACCACACATTCAACCAATCATAATTTAAGACTTACATAAATCAAAATATTTTTTATCTGAGAACATCTTAACTTGGAACAAACTGTGTCATGAAAAGGCTAATATATTATTTTCATTTCCTGTATTTGGTAATTGTAATTATTCATCAGATTTGTTCATTCACCAGCACATGAACACTTTCTTACAATCAACTTTCAATAATATTTTCATAGTAATCTCACATGAATTTTTTTTTTTATTTTTTTATTCCTGTAAACTCCCAGTGGAACATAGGGCTGCGACAACAACTCACCAATGGAAGTTGTTGTTGCAGTTACTTGTAGCATGTTGGTTTTTATGGGGTGGAGTTGCTAGCCCCGTGCCCAACCCTCCTCCTTTCTCATCCTGGACTTGGGACCAGACAAAGGCGGAGGTTGGCATGTTTGGTGTGATGGGGATTCGAACCCACGACCCACAGATTACGAGTCGAGCGCCCTAACCACCTGGCCATGCCGGGCCCCTCACATCAATTTACTTCTAGCTAATCATTGGTAGGTGTAAACTGTGAAGATTTATTATCTATTGAAATGTAGATAGTTTCATTACATTTTTTGAAACACTACAACATATATCCCATATAACCTTCAATTTAGCAGTAATCGAACCCTTAATTTTCTATTTCTGAGTAGACCAAAATGTTTTACTTTTAAAGTCATACTTACATCTTGAATTTGTTTTAGAGCCTCTTTATAAATAGAGCAATAAGGTTTCCTGTTTTTAAAATTTTGAATACTGAGTTTGCTTCATATCTTCCCTATCTTGTTTTAAAATCATTAAAGTTTTAATATTGTAAAAGAATGCATATCATAATTTATATCTATCTCCACTGAAAATTCATCTTTCACCAAATGAATGACACGTATAAAAATAAAATTATTTTCCACATTCAGGCTTAAGTTAATGTTTAAGTCACAAAATCTGAGATACAGCAATTTCTCAGTAGTCAGACAATTTTATCTCCTTTTCATTATGGTGCACCAAAATCTTCCAGTGTATCCTTCATGCTCTAGATTAGAATTCCACAGAATTATACTCACTCTTACTGATTATTGCACTGATTATTCAAGTATTCAGATAATTAAGAGAATATCAGTCTTATCAAGTTGATAAATGCTCTTAAAGGTATATTTGCTCTCCGTTTCTGCCTCCAATTAGTACTTGTGCTGTGTGAAATGGGGCTATCAATTAGGAAATAGCCTAGACAAATCAAGCTTTTGGTTTATAAGCGATCATATGCTTTCAACCAACTGGCCTCATAACACTCAGAACATGCCAATATTTTTTAATAATTAATATTAACTTCAGATCAGAGCAAGCTATCTCCTTAGACCAAAACTAAAAATCAACCTGGTAAGCAGTATATCTAAATAAGTATACTTTTCTTCCATTCTTAGTTTTAAAGATCAGAATGAATTGATCATTGGTTGGGTATCCTCGTTTTTAACGGTATTTTCAGCTGTAAGCCTAGTAATATCTTGAGGTTTGGCCAGGTTGGATTGAGTTCATTATCTAACTTTTGTATTGCATAATGGTGTATAAAAGACATTTTAATACTGGAAATAAACAACCTTATAACACAAACTTTATATTTCTTTAATTCAACATTCAACACTTCGCTTCACGGCTTCTTCAGGCACATTCCACTAAAACACAAACCATAACTGACAGTACAAAACTTCAAATGGTTTAAATAATAAATTCTAATCAAATCTATAGCATGCATTTCTACAATGTGCATTTGCCTTATTAAGTAGTAAAGCTAACTGTTGAAATAAGTAACTGCTACCTGTAGTAAACAAAAGTTCTATCCTAGTTACAGATTGAAATAACAAAAAATATGATGAAAAATAAAATAATTATAATTATAGGCACCATCCTTTGTCCCTATTTAGCCGTGGTTATAGTTCTTAGATGACAAGAGCTTTTTTAAATTTTCTGTTAGTAAAGCGAAATGTTGGGTCCAATTAAAGAACAATAACAAATTTGGTGTTATAAGGTTGTTAATTTCTAGTATTACCATTCAGATTTAGGTTACTTCTAAATACTCTAAGTACAAATATTAAACTAACAATGCAAAACAATCTCTACAAATAGGGAATTTAAAATCTATAAATAGGGATCGTAAATAAAGTAAAAAAACAAGGCTGGAGATACTGTAGAGATTACTTACTCAAACTACAAACCACTACTTTAGCTCCATGCTGTTGTCTAGAAATACATTTGGTGGAGTCCAGATAAAGGTTTGTAGTTTGAGTAAATAATGTCTACAATATCACCAGCCTTGTTTCCTTACTTTTTTCACAATCCCTTTTTGCAATTTTTAAATTACCAATATTTTATTTATCTTGTTTGCTGGCTTTTTTTATGCTCAACTATGATCAAAGGATTACTTGATATGGTAGCTAATTTTATACATTTCAATGATAAGAAACATCACCAGTAGCTATCTGATACAGTTAATGAAGACTAACTGTAGCTAATGACAATTTGATTGCATTAGTTTGAGATGTAAAATGTTAAGCTGCAGCTGGAGATTGTCATGGCAATTTGTTTGAGAATATTGTGAGTTTCTGTGTACTAAATTCTCTATATATAATGCATAGCAATGGGCAAATATATATGCCTAGACTAAGACACAATAAGCCCCACCAATGCATTTAAAATTTTACCAGTAGAAAAGGAGCCTTTTCAAATAAAACATACATGTCTAAAACATCACTTTAAATAAACTTTCATGTTTTTTAAAGTAATTATTCTATGAATGTGTATAATAAAATTTAATATAACATGCATTGATTTTTTTTCTCTCCTTCACTTAATACATAATAAAGAGGTTGGCTCCTTAAAGACATTGATTGTATAGTGTACAAAGCATTGAGTATCTACATGTTACACTCATATAATGTTCATCTATTATTGGCTGGTAATTCCTGTTTCACTCTGTACTTAGGTTTCTAAAGGAACACCATATATTTGTAAACAATCTAACTCCAAGTGATAATGATAACATCGTTTACACTCAAATTATGATATTTTTTAGCTAATGTAAAATATAGAAGAAACAAATAGACTTTTAAATACTACTACAACTTTTGCAGTACTTTATTTAGTATTCTACCAAATGTTTGGGTGCAATTTACCAAGCCATTTTTGTTGTAGGCTGGCAAGAGAATAATAATAAGAAGAAGAAGAATTACAATCCAGCCATTTTGAGTGGATTTTCTTTTCCTTGTGAGTCTAACATGCCTGCTTTTTGGGGGAATTTTT